AAAAAAAAAAAAAAAAAAAAAAAAAACTAGTATTAATATTAACTCATATTGTTTAATCTAAAAAATACTAATTATGCCGTACGAGTCCAATAAAAATTGTCAAACATATAAGCTCAATAAATGAGCTTAATATAATAAACTAATAAAGCATTTAACAAAATAATTAAACAGGAGAAAAGAGTACATAGATCAAGCAGACAAATATAGAGAGAAAGAAAAAGAGGGAAAAAGGAAAGAGTCAGAGTTTGTCAATTTTCGGTCCAATTATACGAGAAGACTACTTACATGATAACGAAATTCTTTCTGTTTGTTTTAATAAAGGTAAAAATTACTCTTTTTTAATTTTTTTTAGATAGTAGTAGTAAATATATTCTTTTTTTTTTTAATGTAGAAACTGCACATTCAAGCCTCTTTTAGGTTCTTTTAACAGCTATTTAAAGTGTGATATGACAAAATGGAGAATTTTATTTATTGTAAATTTATAATATTATTTTTTTATATCAGACATTGAGAGATATTTTCAAAAAAGGACGTGTCAACAAACTTCTTGTGAAAATGTTTCAAAAGAAGATACCTTGAACCCAATTAGATTTGAGGGAAATTCTAGTATTTTTGGGCAGGAATAATATAGGACGAGAAATTCTAGTATCAATGCGAAAATTAGTCAAGATCATCAGGGTTTATCCTCAAAATACCGTTTTACATTTGCCATTTTCATTAGGTTTCTTAGATTTTTTAATTATATAGTTAGACCCTCTCTCATTATATTTGCTAGATCCGCCCCTGATTGTCCCCCCAAAAGTTTGTAATTATTTTAAAATAATAATTGTATTTCTTTTTCTACTAATAATTTAACTAATATTATTCTCTTTTTACACTTTCGTATACCATTTTTTCTAATTTTAATAAATTGAATGTATGGTAAATATTTGAAAACATAAAAATTGGTAATTATTTAAAATAAAGACCATATATGATATGCCTAAAGGAAAAAAAAATATCAAAACCATTAGTATTGGGTCATGAGTTGAGAGAACAATCAATCTATTTGTTATTGTAACGTTTGAAACTTTATAATTTATATTGCATTATAATTATATATAATTTATAATACAACTTTCAATTTTTTTATGTACATTAAATTAAATCTATGATTATTAAAAAATATATAGGCCCCTCGAAATAAATTTCTGGATCCGCCTCTACTTAGGATGTAACTGGATATAAACTTAATTAAATAAAAAATCACTCAAAACTCAAATTTAACTCAACACCAATATCCTCAATATTATCAATATAATTAAATAATTATCAACCAACAATTTTTATACATCACATCAACTTTAATTCACTATTCATCGACTCACATAATCTTAAGTAACCATCACTTCCAATCATTTGTCATATATTTACATCAATTCAAGTTTAATTATTTATTTTATATATTATTTAAATTTAAATTTAAATTTCTCGCTAACAGCTAATTATACTATTTTTTAAAAATTAACTATGATTAACAAAAAAGGAATCAAAACCAATTAAATCCATATCTAATCACACTCTTAGTGTTTGACGAGTTATTAGAGAGAGTTATGCCATAGTTGTTTTAGGGGCTAGCTAATAAGATTTCATGCTCCTCTTTCATGTTCATTATGTTGAATGAACGACACGTATAAAAGATGATGTCATGTTTGTATACATATGAATCATCCAACAAATGAAATACAAAATGAAACATGAAAGCGGAATAGAAAATTTAATCTCGGGTAGCTAAACATTGCTTGAACTGCCAAAGGGGAACGTCAACAGTTAATGAAATTGCGAGAAGTTGGAAAAAATATATGTTGTATTAACCACAATGGTAAGTACACATATCTACATGCGTGGGGCCCATCACTAAGAAACTAAGAAAAAAATTGGTGGCACATTTTCTCATCGGCATTCACATTTTTTTCTCTACACCATTTATTTCTATTTATTATAAATAAAATTAATTGTCTTTATTGTTACAAAAACACTCTGCTTAATTTCATCCCCAAAACGTATATGCTATAAAGGGAAATTGTTGTAAGTCATAGCTTTTCAATGATGAGATATGTAAAACAATTGGATAAATATCTCATGAAAAAGTTATCTATTATTAAAGAGGTCGGGAGCCCGTATATGCTGAATATTGAGATAATTGACGTCGTTTGTGGTTAAACTAATTACACAAGAAAAACAAATAGTTTTTAAACCAATTAATAAGTGTGGCTGGTTTTACGACAAAATTGGTTGTCACATAAATAAATTTTAATCAATTATCTTTGATTTTGAAAATTAAAAGTCGTGTTTTAACAGTCCTGTTTTAGTTCAATTTTTCGCCTTATAATTAGTTTGTTTGATCAATGTTTTTAGGTGCGTTTGTGAGTGTAAATTATGTTTCAATAATCGTTTATGCAATTTTGGATCTATTTGTTTTAAAATATGAAGTATCTCCTTCAAACAAAACTTTTATTTTTGTCTTTTGCCTGATGATTATGAGAAATTTTAAAGTGTGATTAGATACAAAAATTTCAACAAAAATGAACAGACTTCTTTGAATTGGAAAAAAGGTGATTTGCCTTGGACAAGTATTTTTTATACCATATTTGTAGGCGTGCGGCTAACTACTATTGCAATAAAAAAAAAAAAATTGGGTGACACATCCTAACGTATTGACTTTAAGAGAAATTTGTTGTAAGTCATTGTTTCTCAATGATGACATGCTATTATTAAATTTTAACACAATTGGGCAGAAATCGCATAGAAAAAATTATCTAATGCAAAATATGTCGGGTGCTTATAAATGCTGAAAATTGACATAATTGGCAGCCCCTTGTTGTTAAACTAATAACAAAAGCAAAATAAATAGTTTGTAAACCAATTAATAGTATTTGAACATTACAGTAATGATCCCCTACCCACGGTGGACACATATTAATATGCTCAGCGCTTATGTGGCATGCACACACTGGTGATGTATTTTTTAAACATATTAACATCACCAATGTATGCATACCACATAAGCGATGGGCATATTAACATGTGCCCACTATGGGTAGGAGATCATTACTGCAATTGTTTGTCCCGTTTTTGTTACTATTTTCTTTGATATTTTGTGTTCCGTTTCCCCCGTTTTAGGTCTTTTCTTAGGTCTTTTCGGTCCGTTTAGTCTTTTCTTATGCTTTTATCTTCATTTTAGGTTGTATAGTTTTTCTGTTGCTTTTTCCTCCTATTTTCTCTGTTTTTCGTGTTTTTTTTTTCCGGTGGTGCGATTTCAGGTGTTGGGTTGATCGGATTGGCGAACGTTCATTCGGATGAGAAGTGGATGGTTCGAGCATAATTTTGTGGGACCCAAGCATGCGAGGATCGAATTCCCAGCTCGAGCAGTACCCGAGCGACTAGCCGAGCAAGCAAACTATAGAAAAAAGGGCAAAAATTTTGGACAACGGGACCTTAGCGCCGCTAAGGCCCCTGTATCAGCGGCGCTTTTGAATTGTTCGCGGACTGAGACGGGCAGTTAACATGGCTTAGCGGCGCTAACCCCTTACCGCCGCTAAGGTCCATTTTGTAACTGTTGCATTTTTTTCGTGATTTCAAAATGGAAATGCTTATGATCGAGTTAGGGCAGATTGTAACTCATTCCAGACGGGGGTTTTTCATAGTTTCTTACTCCCAAAAACATATTCTCTCTTGTTTTTCATCTTGGATTGGATTTTGGAGCATAAAAACTCCTTTTCTAGCTTTGGATTTTGGATTGCTCATTGTTTTGTTCGACATTGGATTTGATATCAATCGTAAGCTTTTCTTTTCATTTCATATATGAATGTGATGGCTTGTTTAATTATGAATCTTCGTGTTGAGATTGCGATGAGTAGCTAAATTCGATAACTAGGGTTAGGGGATGATTGTTCCGGTTCAATTTCGTTTTTGAGAATGTTGATTGTTCTATCTATTCGAGTTATGATAAACCTAGGGTTAGATGATTGATCACCATACTAATTCATTTAATCGATTTTAGAACTGAAAGGGGAGAAATCGATCGACCTCGGCTCGTTTAGAGTAGGCTTGTTCAGAAATGTATTGCCTATGTGCTAATTGACTTGATGATTGTTCG